TCCACAGCCATGTGAGAAGCTCCTGCTCCAGGCCTCCCCGGCTATGCACGCACTGTGCTGTTTATGCTGCTATGGAATGAAAACTCCCAAAATCATGAGCCAAAACATGTGAGGTATTTTATCACAGCAACGGCAGAAGTAATACACTAGACTTCAAGCTATGGCTCAGCACCATGAACACTTTATTTCATGCCACATTGGCTGGTCCAAAGCTCACTGTAAAGACCAGACTGACCTCAGCTTTACAGAGTTCTGATTCTGCCTTCCCAGTGCTGGAATGCACCGTGACACTTGTTTTCAGGGCTCAGCACAAAGTGTTTGAGTGATGGACATGCCAGCGATCTTATCAATAAACATCAGATACATATATGGAGATGCTGAGGATGGCATGTAACTTACTGAAACAGTATATATTTAGTATGCACAAGGTCCTGGATTCAATTCCAACTACCAAAAGAAAAAAAACCCCAAAAAGTTACAACTCATTAAAATGTTCAATTATATACTGATTAAAAGTAAAAATATCAAAACATTATTTAAGTTTTATCAAATTGGCCATGAAATAATGAATTCCACCATGAAAAAACAAGATTGGCCAAGTCAGTTAATATAGAATATGGGAAAGGAAAAGAATTGTCTTAAACATCCATCTCCTTAATTGATGAAAGAAGCAACGGCTCTGCAAGAAATAGGAAGCTGCTCAGGCTGGCGCCGTGGTGGGTTAGGTGGTAGTGTTGGTGGGAAGTGGCGTTGGTGGTGGGAGGTAGTATTGGTGGTGGGTGTTGGTGGAAGGTGGACATGGTGGCAGCGGCAGACACACAGCTGCCTGGCATTAGGGATTGGGAAGGAGGCTGTGCTCTCAGCAGCCCTCCTGAAATGCAGTAGGTGCTGAAGCTCTGTGCATAGGACTCAGATGCCCCTGCATGCGGAACAGAGCCTCAGACGCAGAGCAGGTCTAAGATCACCTGCTGCCTATAGGTGCTGGCTGAGGGGCTGCTGCGCGAGGAAAGCCTCTAGCCTTAGACATGTGTCCCACGTCACAGATGCTGAGCCTTAGACATGTGTCTCACATCACAGATGCTGAGCCTCCCAGTGGGCAGGAAGCTGGCTGTAGACCCTCCTGTGGCTGTCCTTCAGGGTATCCATGGGCTCGGGAGGTGGGCTGCCTTCTGACTCTTCACACTTGCCCTGCACAGTGGACTCAAAGTAGCCAGTTCTACACACTGTCCAAACATGCACGAGCATGTGGAGTTGGCCTTCTAAACTTCCAGGAGATCATCAGCACAGTGTGCCTGCTGTCACAGTCTCTTGGGCTTTGACCTGAACAGCCCAAATCCTCCTTCAGGCAGATGCATGTCATCACAGGGATGTTTTTTCCCAACATGCGTCAGTGGGAAAGTGTCGTCAGTGGGAAAGTGTGGCTTACGGTGTGCAGGAAAGCTGGGTTCACATTCTAGGCAAGCTCCCTAGTAGAGCGGGGCTTCGGGATACTACTCCTTTACCTCGACATACCATGTCACTCTGTTCCACAGGCGTGAGCTAATGGGAAGCTCCGCGTCCAGAAGTGACCCTGAGTAGGAAACACGTCCTATCGTTGCCCTGGTGGTGGCAATGAGACAGCGGGAGAAAGGCCTCTGCAGTCTCTTCAAATTCTCTGCGGGGCAGGAGCTAGACGTTCTGGGGCCCACACCAGCTCTCCAGTTTGGCTCTCTGTAGAGGGCCAGTGTAGGCAGACTTTTCTGTCCTGCCAGCCAATTCCCAAATAACCACACAGAGACTTAATTATAAATGCTCTCCTGATAGCTTATGCTTGTTTCTAAATAGCTCTTATGATTTAAATTAACCCATATTTCTACCCTCTGCCACACAGTGGCACCTTCTTTCAGCAAGGCATGTTCTTTTTCGTCTCATGGTGCCTCCTCAGACTCCTGTGCCTCTGCCCTTTTTCCTCCCAGCATTCTCTCCACCATGAAAATTCTGCCTATCAGCCAGTCAATTCTTTATGAGCCAGTGAGAGTAATACATACTTAGTGTGTAGAAACATTGTTCCACAGCAGGCTACTCCCACAGCTCACTTGGAAGCCCTGCTCATTAGCAAAAGAAACCAGAGAAGATAAGGCTGAGCAGCTTTCAGTCCAAGAGCCCTCACAGGGAAGACTCTGCACTGGTCCTCACAGAAGTTCAGTTTCACTGAAGAGGCCATGACTTTTGTTTATGGCCATCTTTGAGATGTCATGATGGGGAGAAATAATGTATGCCCGGTGTTGGGGAGCACCCAGAGCTGTTTAAATGTTATTGGTGATGGAAGCCTAGCTGGGGTGTCTCAGTGGGTAGTGTGCTTGCTAGACATGAACAAAATCCTACGTTAGTTCTCAGCTTTGTGTCATCTGGGCGTAGCAGTAAATACCTGTAGTTCAGATGAAGACAGGAGCTCCAGGTTGTCCTGGTTACAGTGAGCTGGATGTCAGCCCAAGACCCTGTCTCAAAAATACTACTACTAATCAAGGACCCTTGTTTCATAGTTTGCATATTCCTGCCCTCCCCCACACCATGAGTTTGCTATACTGTGTGTCCATATACGCTCACAGCTTAAAGTCACAGAAAATGCATGTGGTCCCATCAAACCCTTGTTATAGTTATTCTCAAATGTGTTTTCTATGTGTAACGTCACTAAGCTTTTGTCTCCTGGTTTTTGGCGTTAATTGGTGCTATAGCATGGATCAGGAATGTCCCAGAGGTCCATATGCTGACAGCTTGAACCCCAACTTTCTGCTGTGTATGTTTCGGGAGGGGGTAGACTCTTTAGGGGTGAGACCCAGTTAAAAGAAAATTAGGTCAGTGCCCATGAGAATCTCTTCCCTGGGGAGAGCCCCGAGACAATCCAAAGGATAATCCCACTGAAGTTCAACCTAGGAAATCAAGGAGTTTGTTGGGCTTATTTACAAAGCCTGGGCGAAGGCTGGCTTACAGCAGGGTGGGAGACCTCAGAGCAGTGGCAGGGATGGCGGCTTTCCCACAGTGGCAGAGGCGGAGTTCCTCTTCCAATCCCCTTTCTCCAGCCTGCACAGTCTAGCATCTCTGAGACCTGGAGAGCAAGTCCAGTGAAGGCAGGACCGCACACAAAAGGCTGAAGGAAGGAAGGAGCAGGGGGAGTCTCGGGTGAGGGTCCAGTGACCCTCTTGACCCCATCCTCCTCTGAGGAAATGTCCACAGTCAGCAGGTCCAGTCAGCAGGTGATGTTGCCTTGCAGGCAGTCACAGCTGATCAGATGAAAACGGTGGCTGTTTTGTTCGGAGGACAGTACCCCACAACACCCACCCCTTCCTTCGGTTCTTATATTCTTTCTGTCCCACCCCCTTCCCCTGATGTTCCCCGAGCTTCGGAAGGGTACACAGATGCTGAACTAGTCTCCTGTACTTCCAACAGGGTATGTACCCTCGGCCCTCTCCATGATCCCTCAATGATCTCTGGTGGTTCTAGAGGTAGTCTAATTATAAAAAGGAGTAGGGGCAGGGGTGGAAAACATCCAAATGGAACTGGCCGTAGTAACCTGTAGCCATAAATACAAGTGTTTGGAACCTGGCAGATCACACTCGTGTGATAAAAGAAGACTCTCAGCCATTTTCCCTACGAATCCTCTGTGTCTGTTAGAATTCTACTGCTGTGATGAAACACCACAACCTTATATATAAACTCACTGGGGAGGAAAGGGTTTATTCAGCCAACTCTTCCACATCACTGCTCGTCACTGAAGGAAGTCAGGGCAGGAACTTGAGCAGGGCAGGAACCTGGAGGCAGGAACTGACTCAGAGGCCATGGAAGGTTGCTGCTTACTGGCTTGTTCCTCATGGGGACCTGCTTAGCCTGCCTTCTTATAGAACCCAGGGCCACCGGTCAGGGGGAGGTGGCACCTCCCACAAGCAGTTGGGCCTTCTCCCACCAATCACAAATTAAAAAAATGTCCTACAGGCTTGCCTACAACCCAGGCTAGGGAGGGAACCGCAATTGAGGAAATATCTCAAGACTGGATTCAACCCAATTCCCTACCTAGAGAACCCAGGCAGTGGTGACCTTGAACTTCTGATAGTCCTGCCTCCACCTTCCTAATTCACCACCCCACCTGGTTCACGAACAAAGCTGGAGGTGGAACCCAGCCAAGGTTTCCAACAAGTACCAGGCAAGAATGTAGAGTCCCAGCCCTCTTTAGAGAGGACAAGAAGGTCCTCTTCAGTCTGCTTTTAGTAAACAAACACTGAATGAACCCGGGAGGCTGTCAGGTGTGGCTGGGAGCGGTCCTACCACCTGAGATAATGAGATTGTTGGGCGAGGATTGAAGGCAGTGGTGTTCTTTGTGCGACCCGGTTTAAAGCAGAGGAGATTCGAGAGCCTTCCCTGACGTTAGGAAGGGTGGGAGAGACGGGAGCAAACGTCCCCAGGCCTTTCCATTTGCTTCAGCCCAATTGCTCTGCACTCCGGCGCTTGCCATGACTAGGGCGTGGCCCTGAGCCCCAAGCCTGGCTAAGGTGGGTGTCCCAGCCAACGCTCCTCCAGTGTGCACACGGAGAGACTTACGTAACCTTCCCTTTTGCACACGTGGGCAGCCACCCAGCTGGAGACCGAGGCTTCGTGCTATTTTTAACTGCCTTCCTCCTCTGCTCTCTGTGACTCCAGCCCGAGCCGGTCGCCGCCGCCTTGCAGGATCTCGGCGGTCGCCGGCTGGGCAGAGAGACAGGAGCAGGAGGACGGGGACCCGACCTACCCGTTGTACCCCCTTGGCCCACGCAGACCGGCTCGGGCCGGCGGGCGGAGAAGTGTCACTTCACGGTCCCTAGCAACCGTCAGCCAGCCCTCGCCGCCGGCCTCTTTTACGACCGCAGCCGCAGGCGCGCGCCGCCCGGGGGGCAGGCAGGAGGTGTGTGGGCCGCGCCAGCCAATCCGGGCCGCGCGCTCTAGCGTAGCGCGTTCTGATTGACGAAGCGCCGGACGGCCGTAAGGCGTCCCCGGGTGTCGTGAAGCGGGCGCAGGGTGAGAACGCCGAGGGCTCCTGCCGGGTCGACGCCAGTGTCATCCGTGTGGGTAGCGGCTTCACCGCCGAACGCAGGGCCATGGCTGGGACGCTGGTGCGCAAAGCGGCCGACTATGTCCGGAGCAAGGAATTCCGGGACTATCTCATGAGGTGAGCCTCGGGGTAGGCTATGGGAGAGCCGCGCGCCACGGGACAACCCTGCGGCGCAGTGCCGAGGTGGGCGAGCCGCGCGCGCGCGAACCGTGTGCCCACCCGTGACCAGGGGGCTGACTGCGGGTGACCGAGGGGACGCCGCTTCACCCGTGACCAAAGGGACGGAAGGGACTCTGCTCCCAGCCGTGACCAAGGGGACGACTGCAGGTGACCGGGAGGACGCCGCTTCACCCGTGACCAAAGGGACGGAAGGGACTCTGCCCCCACCCGTGACCAAGGGGACGCTGCTCCCACCCGTGACCAAAGGAAAGGAAGGGACTCTGCTCTCTCCCTTGACCAAGGGGACGACTGCAGGTGACCGAGGGGACGGCGCTCCCGGGCAGGGCGACCTAGGGGCTGGCAGGTGACAGACAGCAGACAAGAGTTGAAAGACGTAGGGTGACTGTAGGGACGCCGCTCCCGCTCGTGACCGGGCGGGCGAACGCCGCCCCTGGGCAGGCAGTCGAGGTGCCCTTGTGTGTGTTGACGTGGGGACACTGGGTGCCACCACCCCCTTCCTCGTGTCCCCATCGTCACGGGCCTGGGACTTGGCGGAAGCGGTGCTGGAATGTTCCCGGACGCGCCGAGCTGGGTGATGGGTGCTAGAATTCGCCGCATCCAGGTCGTTTTTCCTTCCGACCAGTGTGTGTGAACTGCAGCCAAGCAGCCTGAGAGCCGCGGGCTTTTCCTTGCAGTTGTGTGTCGGGGGGACTTGACATTGAGCGATTGAAGAGGGCACTTTCTAGAACTCATTTTCACGTAAAATCTTCTGCTGCCTGCTTCTATTTATAAGTATTTCATAAGACTTAGAAACAGTTTAAAATATTTCCAAGCATAATTTTATTTTCTTGTGATTGTTAAACCTCCATTAAGTGGAAGGCTGCTGTTTAACTTTTAGCTCTTTTTTTCCCTAGGAAAATACTTTTCTTTCTAGAACTTAACCCTGGTGATATATATATTCTCAGTTATTTCTTCTAGACGCCACCCTCTCAACGACTTTGCTTGACTTTAGGAAGGGAGAATACATTATAAATAGAGAATTAATTCTGACTCTGTGCTGTGTGGAGATGCGACTCTAGTCCTTTGTATTCTGTGAATGACTTCATTGCGGCCATCGCCAACTAAAGCTCCCGTGAGTTTGCAGCCTGCCGACGGTTCACATTGTCTAGACTGAAGCCCTTCTAGAATTCGAAAAACTTTTTTTCATTTTTTGAGACAGGTCTCATTTAATGCAGGCTGGCCTCCCAGCTCGCTATATAGCTCGGGGTGATCTTGAATTTGTGATCCTTTTGCCTCCCCTGCTAGGCCAGCCAGTCCTGGTGCCTCCTCGCTTTGTGAAGTTGTATGTGTGCTTTAGTGGCTGCAATGCTGGACAAACATGATTTTATTTATTTATGAGTCAAATTTCTATGGTAGCCCTTGCTGGCCTGGAACTCACAGAGATCCTACTTTCCCCGCCTCCTGGGTGCTGGGATGAAAGGTGTGCGCCCTACCACCAGGCTTGTGTGCACCCCACCACCCAGCCTGTAAGAGCAGCTGTACTCAAACTGCTGAGTCACCTCCCCACCCCTTATTATTTTTATTTTTAGTTCTGTTTTGTGTTTGAGACAAGGTCTCTACATATCTCTGGCTGTCCCAGAATTTACTATGTAGACTAGGCTGAGATTTATTTGCTTCTGCCTCCTGAGTGCTGGGATTAAAGGTGGGTGCCACCACTATACCTGGCTTCAAAGTCTTTTTCTTAAGCAGCTATTTCCTTATGTACCTTACTGACAATAAAACAGCCCTTTATTCTCTTTCAGTCTTCTTAGATTTTTGGTTAAATTAGAATGAGCGAGTAAGACTTGTAGTTTAAGGACTACATGTACAGATTAGAGGTTTATTTTCGAGTTTATTATATATTAGAACAGAGGTGACTGTACACATGCGCGTGTGCGCACACACCACACACACACAGCCACTCACACGCTCACAACTCTGAGGTTAATGAGCTCTTGGCAGTGAATATTCTAAGTTGACTTTAACTTTTGTGTTCCCTGGAAAGCTTTATATCAGCTGGGCAGTGGTGGTGCTGGGCGGTGGTGGTGCACACCTTTAATCCCAGACAAGAGCTAGTTCCAGGACAGGCTCCAAATTACAGAGAAACCAAAAAAAAGAAGAGTTTATATTATTTTCCTAAGAAAGTTGTGGTGGAAATAGCAGAACATGTCCTAAACATGGAGTTAGAGTGAAAAGAACCCAGAACTTCACCTGCCACTGGGGAAAACTAATATTTAGACCAAGCAGAAAACTTGGTCCTCTGAACACCCAGCTTGTGAAGCCAGAATGGAAGGAAGAATGGGGCATAAAAATGGCCGTGGAAGAGAGCAGGGTTTGGGTTCTTTAGGGGAACTGGGGGTTGAGGCAAGCTTTCATTGTGTGGCCAGAGACCTGCCTGCCTCTGCCTCCCAAGTGCTGGCAGTAAAGGTGTGTGCCACCATAGCCAGCCTGGTGCCTTCTGCCCGTACCACCCTTCTTTCTGCATGCAGCACTGTTTCTCACATTCGGCCTTTGGACTCTCAGCACTTTCTTGTTCTATTATTGACCTTCAGAATTAATGACGATGAAAATGTTGACCTAGCCATAGAGAGTGTCTGGATAGCTGGAAAGTCCAGTTTATCCAGTTTACTGAGGTCTTTACCATTTTACACAGGTTCTGATTGTTAAATTACAACTAAAATATTTTTAAAAATTGAAATATAGGTGAGCATTTTTAGCAAAATACGTAATTATAATCCAGACAACCTTAAAATCTCATCCCATGTGGTCGGGATATAAAATAAATGAAAAAGTGTACTTTATTTTAAAAAAAAAATCCCATTTAAATAGTGTTATAAATAAGACTTTTAGGCTGTTGATTGGATCCTCTTCATATGATGAAAGTATTTAAGTTATAAATGAGTTTACAGTTAACTATGTTCCCTAAAATAGCCGTGTATACTGGGAAGAATGGAACAGAACGTAAAGATGATATAATTGTCTATATAGACAATCCCAAAGGACCAAAACTCTATGGAACTAACAAGGGATAATAGCAAGGTAATAAGATAATAGTTAGTGTACAACATTAATATCTAAAGGTCTGTTGCTTTTCTATTTACTTCCAACTAATAAGTGCAACTTGCAATTAAAATGTGCTGTCCTTTACATCATCAGCATTTACTCAAATGCTGAAGCCTCATTGGTGTTGGGTGCTGGGATTGGATCCAGGGCCTGTGTGTGTTAAACACACAGTCTACCACTAAGCCATATTCCTAGCCCTAAATGAAATAGATGTAGATAAAAAATCTAGCAAAGTTATACATGAGAGCTATCTAAGAAAACAGCTGTGAAAGATAACCAAAGAGACAAGTAATGGAGCGGAGCTACCCCAAGTCCACAGAGGGAAAGGCTAGGTGTCCAAGATTCCGTTCTTCCCAGCTTAATTTGCAGAATCAGTGCACTGCCAACCAACAAACGGATTCTGGACTTTATGTACAGTTTGGTGCCCAGTAACACCAAGAGGTAAAACAGTAAATTAGTAGATGAGTAGCTAATATAGGAGGCAGAAGCCCCAGTGTAACCCATACGTACTGCGGAAGAACAGAGTGGGGAGGCTGACACTGCCCAGTTTTACAGTCACCAAACCTGTGCTCCTAACACAGGGCTAAACAAACAGATCAGTGGCACCGCCTAGACAGGCCATAAGTAAACACAGTACAGTCAACTGAACTTTGGCCAAGGAGCAAAGGCAAAATAATGTAGCAAAGACAGTCTTCGACAAATGATGCCAGCAAGTGGCCATCCACATTTTAAAAAAAAAAAATTTAGACATGTCCTATGTCTTTAGCAAAATGTTTTCTCAATTTACATTTATAGATCTAAACATAAAGTGCAAACTATAGACTATGGGAGAAAAATTAAATTACCTGGGGTTGGCAATGACTTTTTAGATACAGTACCAAAGACATGATCCATCAAAGAAAGAATGGGCGAACTAACCTTCTTTAAGACTAAAATTTTCAGCTGAGCATGGTGGTTCATGCCTGTAAGTGCTGTACATAGGATGTGGAGGCATGAGGATTGAGACTTCCAAACCAGCCTGGGCTACACAAGGAGACCCTGCCTCAGAAAACAATGCTAAAATGTCTGCTGTGTGAAACAGAAAACAGACCTAAAGGCATTTGAGCACTGTTACCTGAAATATACCAAGTTCCTGAGATAACTGAACTGAAGCTGGCTGAGCATCATAACAGATCGAATGAAGACACCAGACGGCAAGTCAGCCTATGAAAGTTGCTCCTCAGCCCTGTCATCATAGGAAGAAATGCACAGAAGTCAGTGAAAAATCACAGAAACATGTCACCCAAACACGCATCTCTGACAGTTCCGGAGCTGCTTTGGAGCTATGGGAACTCTTCACTACTGGTAGAAATACAAATGGACCCACTCTGGAGTACAGTTCAGCCTTTCTTATAAAACTTGACCTCCTCCTGCTATATATCAGAAATCATACTCCTGATAGAAACAGAGGACTTAAATTTATTTCCACACAGGGTCCTACATATGGCCTTTTATAGCAGCTCTATGCATAATTGTTCAAACTTGGCATCAAACAAGTTGTCTTTCAGTGAACGAGTGGTTAGTGGAATATCCAGACAGTAGAATATTGTTTAGGGCCAAAAGAAAATCAGTTACAAAATCATAAAAAGATATAAAGGAAACTTAAGTTCACATCACTAAATGAAATAAGTCAACTTGAAAATAAATATAGTTCAAGATGCTGTAATCAGGATTCAGGCTTTTGTCAAAAGCTCTGAGCCTGCAAAAGGATCTCTGGTGGGCAACTAAAAGCAGAATTAAAACTTCACATTTGCCTGGGGGTGAGCATTCAGTTTTGTGCTGACTTCTGAGAGGAGAGAACCTTTATTGAGAAAATGTCTCCACAAAATTGGACTGTGGGCGGTCCTGTACAACAGCATCCTAACTAGTGATAATGCGGGAGGCCCAGCTCGTTGTTTGGTGCCCTGGATTCTAACGGGAAGCAGGCTGAGCAAACCAGGATACAAGCTAATGCACAGCCTAGTTCCTCCCTTGTGTAAAGGTTCCCGCGTCCCTTGAGTTCCTGTCCTGACGACCTCAGATGCTGGGCCATTACCTTGAAGTGTACTCCAAATAAATCCTTTCCTTCCCAAGTTGCTTTTTGGTCTTGGTGTTTTATCACTTAATATAGAAATAGAAATGCTAACTAAGACGGATTTGCTGTCTAGAACATGTTAAAAAGAGCTGACATGAAGCCGGGTGTGGAGGTATATTCCCTTAAACCTGGCACTTGGGAGACAGAGGCAGGTGCGTCTCTTCAAGTTCAGAGCTAGCCTGGTCTACATAGCAACTGTGAATTTTAACCAGACAGGGATACACAATGAGACCCCGTCTGAAAGGGGGGAAGGGACTGGGTGTGGTGGCACCTGTAACCCCAGCACCAGGGCAGTGGAGACAGGCAGATCCCTGGGGTTTGCTGGCCAGTATGCCTAATCTAATTTGCAAACTCCAGGACAATACAAACAAACAAAAACTAAGCTGGGTATCTCCTGAAAAGAATAACAGCTGAGGTTGTCTTCTGGCCTCCATCATTTATGTGCACATCAGTATGGACACACAGAAAAGCATCTTTGCCTTCATTCTGCATCCGTCTTCTCTGCTGCCTTAAACTTGAGGTCAGATTCCTGCCCAGTTCTGCAAGTAAACATGTTAATTATTTAAGGAGCATTAGTCTAAAACTGGTAATGCAAAGCTGCTCCATCCTAAAGTGACCTAGTCATCTTCTTCCCCTCTGAAGTCCGAGGATACCACCATGAGGGTAGCTAAGGTATTTTCAAAATCCAGGAACAATGAGACTTGGAGGCAGATCACCCAGTGATGGGACTGAGGCTCCCCTTAAGTGGGAAAAATTATTTCATGAGAAGCACCCCGCCCCTCGTCTACCCACTCATCCACCCACATTCACACACACAGTAATTTTCCACAGCAAGACTACACAGAAGCAGACCTGAGAAATGACCAACCAGAACGCACTGACCACCACTGCTTACTATGCATACTTCTTGTCTCTGCTTTTGTTCCTTCCCTACTGTAATCTTCCAGCTGTTGCCAGTACCTTAAAGGTAGCTCTTAGAATATTATTCCCCTGTTCCCATTTTGTGACCATATTGAACAAACTGCTTCATGGCTATGTCTTTGATTGGACTCTTGGAGCTGTGCCTTAGTTAGGATTTCTATTGCTGTGAAGAGAAGAGATACCGTGACCATGGCAGCTCTTATAAAGGAAAAACATCTAATTGAGGTGGCAGCTTACAGTTCAAAAGTAATGTCCATTATCAGCATGGCAGGAAACATGGTGGCATGCAGGCTATCATGGTGCTGGCTACACTTTAATCAGAAGGCAACAGTAAGTGACCTGAATATCACACTGAGTAAAGCTTGAGCACAAGAGACTTCAAAGCCTGCCCCTACAATGACACACTTCCTCCAACAAGACTACACCTATTCCACATTGCCTCACCTCCTAATAGTACCATGAATAGCCAAATCTGGTCTGCTGGGACTCTGAGTCAGGCCTAACTTGACACAAACTAGGGTTATCTGGGAAAAGAGAATATCATTTGAAGAATTCTCTCATCAGACTGCCCTGATTTTCTTACTACTTTTGATGATACAATAGGCTCAGCCCAGTGTGGGCAGTGCTACCCCTGGGCACATAGTCCTAGGCTGAGCAAGCCATGGAAGGTTAGCCAGTAACTAGTGTTCCATTGTTCTGTCTGCCTCAGTTCCTGCCTTGAGTTTTTGCTCTGACTTCCCTTCATGATGGGCTGTAGGCCATAAGATAAAACAAACCCTTTCCTCTTCAAGTTGCTTTTGGCTGTGGTCTTTATCACAGCAACAGAAAGCAAATGGAGACAAATTCTAACCATGTGACATTCTGGAAAAGACAAAGAGCAAGAGAAGGATGACAAGGCAGAGTGCAAGGGTTTTTAGGGCAGTGGGACTCCGGTGGCCTTGTCTGGTATGTCAGTATGTGGCATGTGCCACCCAGCCCAACGCGACAGCTGGAGTCCCCCATGTCAACCCAAATGTAATGTTTTCATAGTCAACTGAAATACAGCAGATGACCAAATAAAGAGAAAATGAAACATTACATTACTGCCCCCAAGTTACAGTTGAAAATAGCCACACTTGCCATCGGTGTCAAGCTGTAACTTGTATGTTGCTTGTAAATTTACCTTTGTTTGGAGCATGTACTGTTACATAATGGGGAACACAGTTCTTTCTAGTGTGGCTCTGCACAAGTGTGCTTTTCATATATTTTTAAACACATAGAATGCATGTGCCTAAGGCATGAAGCATTGCTTTTTACATTGTTTTATTACATATGGGCTTGTATGGGTGTATATTAAATGTGTGGGTGCTTGTGGAGGGCGGAAGAGGGTGTTAGATCCCCTGGAACTAGAATTATCAGCAGTTATGAGCTGCCCAACGCAAGAGAGCTCAAGTTCTCTAGAAGAATAGCTGATCTATCTCTCTAGCCCTCACTTTGCAGATTTTTGTGTTTTGTTTTTAATGTGTATTTTTGTGAACCTGCATATCTGCACCACCTGCATGCAGTTGCCCACGGAGGCAAAGAAAAGGCATAGCAGCCTATGGAACTGAATGTATAGATAGTTGTAAGCCGCCGTGTGTGCTGGGAATGGAGCCTAGGTCCTTTGCAAGACAGAGCTCTGTTAGATGCTCCTAAGTAAACCATCTCTGCTCCAGCCCCACAAAACTTTTATTTTAAAAGTCTTTTTTGTTTTGTGGGGGTTTTTCTGTGTATGTGGGGTGGTTTCGAGACAGGGTTTCTCTGTAGTTTTGGAGCCTGTTCTGGAACTAGCTTTTGTAGACCAGGCTGGCCTCCAACTCACAGAGATCCTCCTGCCTCTGCCTCCTGAGTGCTGGGATTAAATGTGTCTGCCACTACCACCCAGACTGTTTTGTTTTGAGACAGGGTTTCTTTCTATTTAGTCCTAACTGTTCTGGAACTCATTCTGTAGACTAGATTGCCTCAAATTCACAGAGATCTTCCTGCCTCTACTTCTCGAGGCAGGAAAGGCGTGCACCACCGCTGCTCAGCATTCACATTGTATTTCTATTGGGCAGCTCAGTGCTAAAGATGAAACTTATTTTCATAGAGCAAAGATTTTTATTTCACTTGTTATTACATATGATTCCTTAAAAAGTTATTTTTCACTTACTCTATGTGAGGAGGTTCGATTGTCATAGCTCACTTGTGAAGGTCAGAGAACAACATGGGATTCACTCACTCCCTCCTTACAATGTAGGTCCTGAGAATCAAGCTCAGTTGTTAGACTTGGTGACAGGCACCACTTCCTGGGCCATCTGGCCAGCCCCAACTTACACTGTGTTGCTAGCATGTGACTAAAACTTAAATGCATGTGAGTTGAATGGACTAGAACTGTTTGGAAGTATCTGATTCTTTTTCTCTTTGTTTTGTTCCCTCCATGTCTTCTCTGTCTGAACCTTGGTGACTACACAAAATAGTACGGTAAGAAAATTGTATCCATTCTGGGCACTTGTGGACTTTCTGCTTAATAGAGTTACAGACACCAGGCATGTTGGGGTGGCCTGACTCCCACGCTCGATGGTAAGCTGTAGTGAAGCATTCTCCTGGGCCCGCCTCTCTAGACCACAGCCTGCAATGCTTCAGTACCTAGAGTCCCTTTAGAACTGGCAGCTGTTGACAAGGGGGTGGGGAGGCAGACTGAGGTGGTCTCCATGGCTTGCTTTCCATGTGACAGATCCCACAACATGAGCTTGTTCCTTTTAACATTTTTGCATATAATTGATAAATGTTAATCACAAAATTCCTTGTTTTTCTATAAATTAACTGCAATTTCTGGCAACTTAAACCAGACACACATTTCAGAGCAGGGAAGAGAGAATTACAGTTTCATACCAGATAAAGAATATGCATTGAAAGCTTTCTTTGTTGAAATGATTTGTGCTGTATGTATGTTTGTCTGTCTGTTAGTAACAGAGACTTGCCTTGTAGACCAGGCTAACTTACCTTTCATTCATTCCTTTGTTTGTGAGACAGGGTCTCTCCAAGTAGCCTTGGCTGGTCTGGAGCTTGATATGTTAAACCAGGCTAACCTCAAACTGACTCCCCTACCTCTACCACCCAAAGCTGGGACTAAATGTGTGTACTGCCATACCTGGCTAGGTCAAATTGAACTCAGTGTCTTCCTGCCATAGATGCGAAGTGTTGGGACGTAGACTGAGTCATCACATCTAGCATCCTGTGTTTTAAGGAATATATTAAATGTAGCTCAGTGCCATAGTTCTCTGTGTGTTTCTTAGCTTAACTAGAAATCTTTCAGGCACCTGGACAGCTTTGGATGTATTCCACTGTCTGTCCCCCTTGGGCAGAAGGCAGGTTATATCTGGTAGAGAGGGCTGTACGTCCCTCATAGAGTAATGCTCCAGGCTTTGTTACGGACATAACAATCTGTGCGTCATAATGTAGATATCAAATCAAGACAACCATCCAGTGCAAAGCAGTGGGAAGAGATTAACGGGAAAGAGATGGAAATAGACCAAGTGGAGAAAGAAAGGAGGAAAAGCAACATTATTGTGGAGCAATAGAGTTGAGGATGAAGCAACATCTAATAAGGAGACAGGTAGGAAAGAAATCCAAAGGCTAATCAAGGAGTGAGTACTTCCCCTTACGAAGGTCTGGGGGTGTAGGGAAATGAGAGTTAGTGTCTAAGACACGAGCAGTGAACAGCTTACCTAGGTAATAGGAGTTTGACTGCATGAAGACTGGTTGTTCGACACAGACATCCAGAGATTCACCCAGAGAAACCAACAAGGCCTGACCATAGAGATTATAACTCACGTTAAGTTGGGCAGTCCTTATGCTGGCTGAATAGAAATTTTATCATAATTATTAAAGCATGAACCTCAGTACTTACATTTAGGCTTATTGGGTTAGCATTCCAGCGTATTCTCCTAGCATGCCAAATGTGGACCTAGATTATTTTTCTTGTGTTGCCCTTGTTTTCCTGGAATATTTTAAGATTGTAATGACCTCTTCTCAAAGCAGAGTCTAGAATTTAAGTCTCTGTTCCTCACCATGGCCGTTCAGCTGGGAGTCCAGTGAGAGCCACTTTCACCAGTTAGTGTGTTCAGACTCTATGCACAGTTGTAATTCGGGTGACAAAAATATTGGGCTTAGTACATTTTTTTGCCTCAGAAATTAAAATAAATTAGACATGGCTGCTATTGAACAGTTTAATTTTGGTTACTTTAGATATAGTTTTAGAATGAAAGATTATCAGATTATCTGCTTTTTTTAAATTACTTCAAAAGTATTTTCAAACAGATGTCATTTCCTAAGGTGGAGGACTCTGTAGATTTTCAAGTTCTTTGATCTTAATATAGTTCATGTACAGGCTGGAAAATATTTCTTTACTTGAGCTGAAGAGATAGCTCAGCAGTTAAGTATAAGTACTGTTCTTGCAAAGAACCTGAGCTCTGTTCCCAATACCCATGATGGATTGGATGGTCCACAACCACTTGTAACTCGTTTCCAAGGTATCTGGTGCCCTCTTCTGAACTCCAGGATCACCTATACTTAGACCTGTAGATAACCCCCCACACACATAAATACACTAACACATATACACATAATTTAAAAAATCTTTTAAGCCAGGCATGGTCGTGCATTCCTTTAACCCCAGCAGAAGTAGACAGATCTCTATGAGTTGTCTTTTGTACTACATAGTGAGACTATATCTCAAAAAACCAAAATGAAGCCAGTGGTGGTGCACGCCTTTAATCCAGCACTCAGGGGCAGATGCGGGCAGATCTCCGAGTTCAAGGCCAGCCTGGTCTAGAGAGTAAGTTCCAGGACAACCAGGGCCACACAGAGAAACTCTGTCTTAAAAAAACAAAAAAGTCAATCTTTAAAAAAGTTATTCTTTCCTTCGTACTATTAACCTTTCTTTAGAAAAAGTGTCCAGTTTATGTTCTGCATTTTATTAGTAGATAACTTAATGAAAATTTGAGGGAAAACATTTTGATAGATTTAAATATTATGGATGTTAACAGTGGTTGTAACAAGGCTTACGTTCTGTATAAGGATAGACTCTGTCAGAAGTATCATCTCCCTTCTCTAGCTGGATATTCAGAGATCACTGACTTGTAGTGTGGAAACTGGGGAGTAGCTTGAATAAACAGCCGGGCCGCTCTTAGTTCTGGGCTCACCCTGAAGAACTGACCAGGGAAACAATGAACAATCCAAGGCCGTGGACTGTGACTGGGCAGAGGTGGTGGGAAGGTGGGTGTTCACAGCTTCACTCTGACTCCTCCTTTCTCCCTCTTGTTTATTGCAGCACTTCTGGGGTCCAGTTGCCAATTGGGGTCTCCCCATTGCTGCTATCAATGACATGAAGAAGTCTCCGGAGATCATCAGTGGACCGATGACCTTCGGTAAGAACACGCGGAGGTGAAGGAGGCTGTGACGGGATGTAGGTCCTGCACGTGTCACCACATGTTGTGGTCTGAGGAAGTCACATGAGGAGTGTGAGGGCGTGGAAGAGTGCTGCTCTGAGATAGTCACTTGAAGTGTTGGGGAATGGGAAAGCTATTTGCTTCAGATTTAGTCTGCCTAGTTCAAGTCTGCGTCCTTTTCGTCATCCTCATAGCCAACAGGTTTTATTATAAACTTGATCTGGCAAGGTGTCACATGTTTACGTGACGCCAATATTTGAACATACAGATAAAGGGGAAAGTGTAGATAGCAGTTCTTTCAAAGGATTGCTATAAAAAGGTCTGACACACAGCGAAAATGGCAAGAACTGAATTCCACTTGTTTCTGCTAATACATGTTCCTGAATGTGTCGGTAGTAACAGCAGACGTGCCTGCGATACAGTGCACTCTCCACGAGCCCCAGCCTTAGGTTCACAACCTGAGGAGTGTGTGGAAGAGCTTCTTTTCTTCACTGGGCAGCCTTCAGCCTGCTCTCGGAGATATTCACGCTCTTTTGTTTTGGTGTTTTTACAGCCCTCTGTTGCTATTCTTTGACATTCATGAGATTTGCCTACAAGGTACAGCCTCGAAACTGGCTTCTATTTGCATGCCATGTAACAAACGAAGTGGCCCAGCTCATTCAGGGAGGACGGCTCATCAACTACCAGTAAGCAAATTTTAATACATTGCTTTGAGGAATTAGTGAAAAACTTGATTAACAAAACATGAAAACTAATGTGAAATGGAATGTGCCATTGTTAGAAAACCATGTTACAGACATGTATCTCTCGAAGCATGCATGTGCCATTGTTAGAAAACCATGTTACAGACATATATCTCTTGAAGCATGCAGGGCCTCTGAGACTGGCAGGCTTTTGTTTCTATTGAAATTCTCTCTATTTCCAGGATGAGTAAGAAGGCATCTGCGTAGCAGTGCGAGGATCTGCTCTGGAAAGGGACAGAGCCCCAGCCACTGCTGCCACGCCACAGGTCGCATCGGCATCGATGATCTTGCTGAGGGGAAAACACGGAATGCTATCTTTAATTACCACGCCAACATTATAGAAAAGCCGAGAGTCCCTCAACCAACTCTCTGCTGCCTTATCAATGCTAAAATTTGTCTTCATCAAGAGTAGTTCAAAATATGCAACTAATTTAATAATTTTGAATGATGATTTTATCTGTAGTAATGTGTATATTATCTATTGGGATTTGTGTAATAAAAATCTAAGGAACAAAGTTTTATAACTATAAGCACTTACTCACATTCTTGACTTTTCTTTAATGATTATAGTGTATCCCTCAGTTGGCCACACGTCTACACATTCTTTCCAGTGGTAACAAGTGTTTCCCATAGTGTGCAGGTTCAGATCTGTAACTTAATGGCAATAAATGATTTAAATATTTGCTATTCGAGTGTGGCTGTGTATCTTGCTGTGGTTAGGAAACTGCACGGAAACCATCTGAAGGGATAGTTTCAGAGGAGAGATAGCATTCTCTGAGAGCTGTTGCTGTGGCTTCACGAAATGGAGCCCCGGAGGGCTGTTCCTTTGGAGTCCAGCCCAGCCGTCCACTGCTCACGCCTGAGCCGTTATTCTCAGTCTTCTGAATTGGCGAGGGTGGGGTGGGTGATGGTGGATCAGACGTTGCGAATCACTGATAACCTGGCAGGACCAGAGGCCTCATGCTAGGCTCTCCCCTGCTAAGCTGCATCTGCTGCCACAGCCCAGGCAGCCCCCTGGGAATGGACCAGTGCATGGCTGTCATGACCCGTTCTGACACAGACACCCAAAGTGCCAGCCCTGGGAGCAACGGGTTGTTTGGTTAAGCTTACCGGTTTCTTCTGTTTTGTTTATTATGTAAAGTGCAGCTGTAGATGACAGCAGCCATAACCTTCCTAGGCCTGTCTGGTCCTCAGCAGCCACGCCTGCAGGTTGGTGGATTCGAATCTTGTTCCTTCAACATTTGGGGAAAGTTCTGACTGAATAGTCCTATCACTGAGCAAAGAGCCCAAGATTTTTCATATTTGAATCAGGAAGTCTGAGCAGCTCCCAAGGGTAACCATGAAGAGAAAGGACTCCAGCCGAAGACACAAAGAACTACAGAGACCCAGCAGACCAGCAGAAGAGTCAGAGCTCAGTAGTTCTGTGACGGTTTCTCAGGAAACCTTTCATCGTGGAACCCAGAGGAGGAAATAAAGATTCCTCTGCTGGTACTTGATGTTGAGCCCGAGATCAGGTTTGATGGCTGCCGCCCACACGGGAGCGAGAACCAATTCCTGCAGATTGTTCTTGGCTTCCACACTCAGGCTGCAGTGTGAGAGTGTACAACAACAAAGATTTGGAGATGGTGACTACCAGCCCTAGGGAGCTCCTGCCAGTCAGCATTTGTTTGAATTCTGGTCTGTTGATCGGAGAGTATGTGATGTCCAACCTTCTCAGTACAACTTGTGGCCTCAGCACTGTAGCGACTGCAAACTGAGCTGCACTGACTTCAAATCCGACTAAAAGTCCAGCTAAACACTTGGTTTTTTGAGATGGTTTCTCTGTGTAACCCTGGCTGTCCTGGAACTCACTCCAGATCAGACTCTTATCTGCTTTTGCCTTATAAACAAACTTTTAAAATCATAAATTACTTTGTCCCATGACTCCTAAAACTCCCAGACTGTTTGTATAAGGAGTAACAGGAAGCTGAGGTGATATTTACCAACACTTTAAGCTGTCTTTGGAGAAAGGGGCATCAATTCAAGTCTGGCTACTTCCTGCCTGCATGGGGCTATGTGGAGAAGGGGAGAGTTGGGTGTTGGTGGGTTCACACTCTATGAGAGGTGTGGCTGGAGAGGCATCCTGTTTATTGTCATCCCAGAGACACCAGGCATCTGTTTCTTGAGGGAGGTAAGAAGGCAGATATAAAGGAGAAAAAATATTGTTATTACCCGTCTTGTTTGTATCACCAAAGATGAGCGTGCCAGGATGAGGAGCAGGTAGGCCCTTCATTGTGGCATCCTGGAAAACCGGAGGGTGGAAGGTCCTGACTGCTGGATAGACCAAGTGTCTTGAGTAGGTGCCCGCTTGAGCCTGGAGAGATGGTATCATCATGGATGTCCCAGGAGCTTGGCAGCCGAGGGGGTGGTGAGGATTACCATGTGAGATCCTATCCATCGATGTTCAAGAGACCTGAGTCCAATGGAGAGTTTGATTAGCTGTTGTTTGATGAGCCCCTCGGCCCTCTCCACCTTTCCCGAGGATTGTGGATGGTAGGGGATGTAGAATTTCCAGATGTTGAGAGCTTCTGACACAAGCTCCACGACCCTGGAACTGAAGGCTGGCCCATCATCCGTCTGGATGGTCCGCGGGATCATCCCAGGAATGATGTGGTCCAGGAGTACCTGAGCCACCACATCTGCTGTTTCCCTGGAGACCGGAAACGTTTCTATCTATCCTGTAAAAGTATCCATAAATGTTAAGAGATAATGGAGTTTTTTGTGAGTAGACATATGAGTGAAATTAACCTGCCAATCTTTGCTCGGTTGGTGTCCACAAATCTAGTGTAGAGATTGACTTATGTGGAGAGCCACCTGTGGGTTGGCCTGGGCACAGGTCTGGCAGGAGGAGTGAAACTGAAATATCTCGGAGATGGGCGGGGTCAAAGAGGAGCTCCAAGAAGCAGAACAAAGCTTCGGGGCCTATGTGTAAGGTCTGGTGATGTCTGAAATGATTGACAATGCCTGGTCTTGAGGAAGGATGAGATGATTATTTAAATAGAATCATCCATCCTTTGGTTTTGTGACCCCCCTTTTTATAAGCTTGTCTCGCTCCTTTGGTTGGTAACAGGGCTGATAGGAGGGATTTAAGAACAAAATATGTTCTGTGGAATCAGAGGAGCTGGAGGCCAACCCCCAGGCCACTGCGTCTGCCTTGGCATTGCCTAAGGCCTCTGGGTCCTTGAAAGACTGGTGTCCCCAACAGTGAATAATGGCTACTTCTGCAGGGAGCTGGAAGGCCTCCAAAAGGTTGGCTATAAAGAGTCCATTAACTATGGGAGTGCCCTTGGTACTAAGAAAGCCCCTTTCCTTCTAGAGTGCAGAATGAGTGTGGGCTATTAAGAAGGTATATTTAGAGTCAGAATAGATATTAGCCCATTGGCCCTTGGATATTTGGAGTGCCCTAGTCAAGGCAATTAATTCAGCCTTTTGTGAGGAGGTTCCCGTTGGCAGGCAGGTCGCTTCAACTGTGTTAGTAGAAGGAAGTGACAATTGCATAGGCTGTCTGGTGGTTTCCTGATTTATCTGTAAGGGAACTTCCGTCAACAAACAGTGTGAGTTGGGGGATCTGTAAGTGGCTGGTCTAGAAGACCCTGCAGAGTTGAAGTTAAAGCCTCTCCAGCCTCTGGGCAAGACTGAGGAGGTGGGTGCAGGAAGGAGAGTTGCAGGGTTTAACGCAGGACTGGAAACCAAAGTAATTTGGGGGTTTTCTTGGAACAGTAAGTGAAAAGCCTGAACTTGTGAAGGCCCAAGGAGAGAGAGAGGGATGACTCAGAAGGTCTGAGAGGCGGTGGGTGGAATATACCATGATTGGCCATGACAGGGTGATCTTGAGAGTCTCCTGAGTGAGTTCAGCTGTCAGAGCTCTTAGGCATGGTTGCCATCTACAGACAATGAGGTCCAGCTATGTGGATAAAAGGTGACAGCCCGATTCAAAGGCCCAGCCTGTTGGGTTAGAACTCCTGTGGCCACTCCTGACCTCTCATCTGTGTAGAGATGGTAAGGCTTTGTGGGAACTGGAAGAGCAAGGGCAGAAGCTGTTAAAAGGGCATCCCGCAGTAGAGAAAAGCAGTGGACAGTGGCCGGGTGGGTGAGAGGCCCCGTGGGGGTCTCTCTGGCTGCCTAGTACAGAGGCTTCACTGTAATGACAAAGTTAGGGATTCAATGGCACAACCCTAGCAGGCCCAAAAATGAGAGGATCTGAGCCCCTGTGGTTGGAGGCTGTAAATCCCACATGGGCTGGACCCTGTCAGAGGTGAGGCTCTTAACCAGGGCTAAGTTGAACAGCCAGATATACCACGGTGGGAGAGCGCAGCTGAGTCTTAGTTGGTGGGACTTGGTATCCCAGGGATCTGAGGATGTTCAGGAGTGCAGAGGTGGCCTGCTGGGACAGAGACAATGAAAGACTGCAGAGAAGTAGGCCGTCCATGTACTGGAGGAGAGTGCTGGATCCTGCGTCAAAGTTTGAGAGATCTCGAGCCAGAGCTCTCCCTGAGGGAGAACAGTCCATGTAAGTCATCTGGAGGACCGGGAATCAGGGTGTAAAGGGACAGTAAAGAAGGCATCTCTTAGGTCTAGAACTGTAAAACAGGAGGCGGCAGGAGGGACTTTAGACAGGAGATTGTATGGGCTGTTAACCAGAGGGTCAACTGGAATGACCGCCTCATTTATGAGATGAGGTCTTGAACCAAGCAGTAAGCACCAGAGGGCTTACACACAGGAAGAATTGGAGTATTGCAGGGTGAGTCTATAGGAATTAAAATTCCTTAAGATAGGAGACTTAAGGCCTCAGTGGGGGGTTTCAGAAGTAGGAAACGGGTCTGGAAGGGAAGGACAAAGGGTCTTTAAGGCGAACTAGGACTGGCTGGTGGTGAGTAGCAGCCACAGGCGTGTTAGTGTCCCATACTTGGGGATCTACTGGATCAGGGAGAGCAGGGACAGAACAGTCTGGGGTAGGAGCCTGTGAGGCTTTTAAGTGAGAAGAAAGTGTGACCCAGGAGAATGTGTGGGCGCCAAAGTGAGTGTGGGCCTGAAGCGGCTGAGAATATCTCCACCCAGAAAAGGAGCAGGGCAAGTGGGTATCACTAGGAAAGAATGAGAGAAAAATTGCCCTCCAAGAATGCAGGGCAGTGGCAAAGTTTTAAGTGGGGAGGAACAGGTCCCGTCTATCCTCTTAACTGAAATTGGTGAGGGGGACGTAAGGCCCAAGTGAGATGTTAAAACAGAGTAGATAGCTCCCATGTCCAAAAGAAAAGCAATGGACTTTCCCCGCTACCTGTCATTACCCTAGGCTCGGAGAGGGTTATGGGAGTCACCAAGTCTGGGCTGCATCAATCCTCTGCAAGGCTAAGAAGTTCGAAGGCTGGCACAGTTTCTATGTCAGTGCGTCTGGACCTCCGTGGCGTGGCATAGAGGATGAGCCCCACAGGGGCGTTGTGATTTCCAGTGTCCAGGTTGCTGGCAGATAGGGCATGGCCTTGTAGGAGGCTCAGGGCAATATCTGTCAAATGGCCATTTAGACCACCTTTGAAGCAGCCTGCTAGTGAGGTTGACTTAGGCTGAGCTTTGTCAGAATGGAGCCTTGTGGTTGACTTCCCTTGTCCCCCTTCTGGGAGTCCCAGTGGCCTCAGGGCAGCTGCTAAGGCTTG